AGATGTGTATAATTCACTGGAGTTATAGTATCTACAGATAATAAAATTCAACCTAATTAAACTGAAAGTGATATTTTTTTCATGCTTACTTAATGTTGTATAATTTGTGTATATGTATTTTTGGTATGACTACTGTATGCTTGAATTTAATTTGCTGTAAAATTATTGATAACACATTAGCATAAAGTTTACCTGACATTTTCAACTGGAGCTTATGGGCATTAAAAACTAGCATGTTGTTTATCATGTAAGATATAAAAAAAGCATTAAAAGCCTCTCTAAACAAGTATAATTCATTTTAGTCACAATCCATTATTCAATATTTGAAAGAGTTATAGTATGTAATCAAAATATTCAATATTTGACTAAACCATTTTAAATATTTCAAAATTTTGAATTCTTCATCCCAGAGTGCCGAAAATGGGTCTCTGAAAACATCGAGACTTTGAATAGTTGACTGTTAACTAGAAATTGCAAATTGCAAGTGAGGTGCTGCGAAGTACAACTGCATATAAATGTTCTTCGAACAAAATTATTTATGCGAGTCAAGTGAAAATAATGAATAATAAAAATATAACAAATAATATGAGACACGGCCCATTGTCTATATTAGAACACTTCTAATTGTGTAACAAAGTTGTGATTTTTCATTTTTGTCAAAAGTGTCTATAGTGGTGAATTATGGTTTAGGTTTTTTAAAATAAAGTTTCAAAAATTTCTATGTATGTAGAAAATGTAGTTGATTACCAAAGGTTACAATTTTTATTTTGAAGACTGCATGGTCTAGAAAGTGTACATTTTTTATGGGGCAAGTTTCCAAGGGCGGGTTTTCTAGGGGTGAGTTGACTGCCAAAGAGTGTTGCCAAAGTGCGAGCCAGCGTGTTATTTGATCACAAGTGCGAGACATCGCAAGTGAGCTATGACGTCACAATAATAGATACGAGACGTTACTTGAGTTGTGTGAGGTATCGGCTGAAATTTGTGGAGTACAATTCAAAAAACAACTATAGGTCTAATAATGAAGGGGGCAGCTGGCTTGAAAAAGTTATAGTGATTTGTTTGCTTAAGCTGCCCCCGACCATCTTTTGGTCAAATAAATAAACTGAAACTGAAACTGAAACTGAATTTGAATTATTGTGTTGTTAAATAGACAATGTTAGCTATCAAGGAGCGACGTTGTTTTTCATTGGGACCTTCGTCCCTTCAAGGCAAGGCCTATACCATCCTAGCTAGTCTAGGCCTAGAGTAGGATAAGGCTAGCGCGACATGCGGACATTGGTACGTGTCGGTTAGTCTACAAACGTCGCCTAAAGTAATTGATTTTACCCGGCAGAATGAAAGAAGGAAACTCCGCTTTTCAGTCATCTTAAGCCCTTGTTTTTTACAAACAATGACCTTTCAGATGTCAAATTGCTGTCAAGAATATGAATTGGCTGCTTCGCAGCAATAAAAGTAATGTGCAAGTAATTACATTTGGATTCTAAGATATTTTTTAAGAAAAATTCAAAATTAGTAATTAAATAGTTGAATTTGCCTAAATATGAACATTAGCAGTGTTCAAGTTAAACAATCTAATTGATCAATGTGTAACGTAACAATATAAACCTATGCTTGGCTTTGTCTTTCATTTGAGAATATACAGTATAATTTTTGAAAAAATTTTGTCTAAACCCTGTATTCAGATTCGACAACATATTTATATAAAAAATCTTTTTATTTACTGTATGCTATAATTTATAACAAATGTCGATTCATTTCATTAAGAACATTTTACGAGCACTTGCAAATGGTTATTGTAGTCAGTAAGCCATACACATCATTCC